AAAAAAAAAAAAAAAAAAAAATCGAAATAAAAACTTGAAAACCAGAAGAATTGCTACCTTTTATTTAATATTTGCTCATCAAAAAATTTTCAAATTTTCGCATAGCTCAGGTTATGTACATGATGAATTTACGAATACTTAAAAAGAACAAATGAACTTTTACAAGAAACTCATCCCTAAAAATTGAACGTTAATACTTATGTGAACGAAATTAAGTGTCCGAGGGACTGCTCTGATCTTCTTATTTATTCAATGTTTACGTGCTGGAAATTTTTTTACGCCCCTTTGATGATAAATCAAAGAAAATAAAGTAGCAAGTTCCGTGTGAGGATATAGTGGCGTGAGCCACGTTGATTAATAGGAGATCGCCAAGAACTGGGGGCTGTTGGAGGCCCTTGCAGAGCTAGCTCGAGTAATCGATACTGCACCAAACCGGGAACGGGTAAAACCGAAGGGTTGGGCGAGGCAGCGCGATGGACACGATGTGTCCTCTCTTATCCACCTAACCAAGAATTGTCCCTCCTTCGACTTTATCGTCATGATTTTGGACATGTATTAAAGCTATACATACGTATAATAAACATGAATATGTGTGGGTGGAATATACAATTTCAGATACAGTATTAGTGTATTAAGTTTTATTTATTCGACTTTGTACGATTATTAACATATTAATCTATTTTAATGATGTATTTTTTTTCTTACTTTATACGTTCATTTCGTGCGGTCATTAATGTATAAAAAGATGACCAAATGTATAAATAGCTATATTTATATATAACAAATATATGATGTTAGGTATATTGCACCTAATTGTATATATCAACTAATAAATTAACGTGTTCTTGTTATACACTAATAATATAATGAAAATGACTTCTGAATATGTTAATATAGTCTATATCATATACGTATTTTGATTCACGTGTACACATATAGTATTGAATAATCTTCGAATTTTTATATTTCAATGTTTTTAGTAAGTAAAAAGCAGGTCTTTAAGGGAACTTCAAACATAAAATTGAAACGAAACATCTTTTCGCATCAACGCATATCAATGAAACTTCTTTTATACGCGAAAATATTGCTGGGTCGAAGGTGACTGAAAGAACGTAATAAGGTTAAAAAACAAAAACCAATTGAATTAATTTTCATAATATATTCATATTGTACGTATGATACATAATACAAGATTATAACAAGATATATATCTGTAATCGTATTCGTATCCATAAAAAAAAAAAAAAAAATACTCGCATTATATGTCGTAATTGAATACAAATATTTAAACACACGTGTAACAGGGGATCGGTATCGAGAAACGATAGCTCGATGAACGAATTGACGATCGACTCCGTTAGCTTCGAGCACGACGATAGCCCGCGAGACGGGAGATAGTTTCGCGCGGAACTATCGATCTTTGCCGGGCAAAATGCGAAAAGAAAAATGACGATCGGACAATAAGACTCGATTGTTCCGCTCGGCTGCGTGTGCTCGCGATTTTGCCCGTTTTCTGTTTTCTCCTTTCGCGGCAGCAAGAAACCAAACGGTTGCGTTCGCCTCGGCTTGAGAATTTTGCATTTGTCGTATCGAAACGAGGGAATTCCGCCGCCAGGAATGGCGACGTTCATTAGAAGAGCGAGATTCCCGGTCAGAAGAAGATACAGTGAGTTTTTCCCTGTCGTCGGCCAGACTCGAAATTACGGCCGAGGCATCGGCCTCGATTTCTCTCCTAACCGTCCTCCTCCTCCTCCTCCTCTTCGCTGCCGCGTCCTCACAACGCGTAAGATTCGTCGCTACGCGGTTGATGACGCTCGACGATATCCAGGTTATGACTGGCTGCAATCGCGAGTATTATTTCCGTGTATAACGTATACACATATATTTTTCTTTGCCCGTGTTGATATTTGAAAAAATATATACGTGTTTCATACGAAGATTTCGAGCGATAGTTCGTGTAATTGAACGAGGATCCGTGGTCTTTCTATCTCTATTTATAATGTGAAAAGCACGGATATTTGTAACCGTACTTTCTCGAAGTGAAGATCTCGATTACAATATGCTCGATGATTATGCTCATGCAACTTGAAGAGAGTTAAACTCGCAAGGTTCCGATTTATTTTCGAAGCTTGGTAGATTAAGCAAGTCAATTTATTCGTGTGAATTTCTCAAAGAACACGATGCATGAACACGATGCGTTTATGATATACATCTTCGGAGGCCTGTTTGAATTTTAATTTGTACGAGTTGTGATCGCGAATATTTTGATTGCATGTAATCTGAAGAGAAATCCGGATGGATCTCGTCTATTTATCGAATTTATACGGAAATTTTGACATTTGTTCTTGACGTGGAAATTTCAACTGCAGCGGTGAAAATAAAATTTTCATGAGGTTTGACGATAGCTACGTTATGATAATAAACCTACGCGAACACTCTGTATTTCATTGCGACTTAACTCGAGTCTAGAAAGTTTAATCTATTTTCGAAGCGAAGCTTTGCAGATTAAGAATTTAAATTTATACGAACAGCACGATATTTGCTGTATATCGTGTTCCCTCAAAATGGGGATTTCGATAAGAGCAATGGATGAAACGACTATTCGATCTGGTATATTAAATGAAAAGAAGAGGTGGAGAAATTCTATTTGATTAAATTATAATTTCATTTCTTATAAAAAAAAGAATTATGTCAATAATATTAAAGAGAAACTTGTCAGTAATATGTTGAATTTTTAGATAATTATGGCATTTTATGATTCGAATTTTTGTGTTGATAGTTAGTGATAAAATTGAGCTGTGTTTACTTTATTAACCAAGAATAATTAATTAATATTATTGATCATTGCAACAATTTAGGCTTTATTGAATAATTCAAAAAAATACTTCAAAAGTAATTTTACTCGGCATTGTTAATTAAAATTAAATATATTTAACCCTATGTTATAGGTGTAATAGTATATATTACAGTCTTAAATATAATTCAATCTAATGTTGTATGTGATTTAATCCTGCAAATATGCTCCCAATATATTATTTGTATAATTTGCGGGAAAAACGCAATTAAATTCCATATAATTAAATCCTATATTATGATCTCCAGTATATCCAATAATACCAGTACTAAAATCCCAAAATAATTACGATATATATAGTCAACAGTTAATCACAATAATGTCTACGGTGACAAATAAACGTGGCGAATCTCTCTGGTTGCAGGCAAATCACCGTTCTTCCCAAGTTTGGAGGACCAGAGCGGCACGCTGCTAGAGGATCCAAACGCGGCGAGTCAGCTCGATGGCGTCGGGGTTGGCGTCGGTGTGGGCGTGGGTGTTGGCGTCGGAGTCGGTGTCGGTGTTGGCGTGGGCGTCGGGGTTGGAGTCGGCGTCGGTAGCGGCATAACCGGTTCTCAAACGGCACCGCTCTCATCGCCGAGTCGGAGCAGTCCTCACAGTCAAGGTAGCGAGACTGGAGAACGCTTCTCTAGGAAGGTGTTCGTTGGTGGTCTGCCACCGGACATCGACGAAGGTGAGCTC